AACTTTTGCAAAGGTGAACAACTTGTGTTTCGCGTGCTCATATGACCTTAGAAGTTGCGAGTGCCGTAAAACCTTATACTATACTATACTATAATATTTGATTGTGTGTGTGTGTGTGCGCGCGCGTGCATCCGTGTGTGCATGCGTGTGTATGTGCATGTGTGCTTTCTCGTCGTAAAAATGGAAGTTGAAATGAGACACTTTCTTTTCAAAGTATTATAACACTTTGATGCAAATTACCAAAAACATGTGCTGATTTGTCCTCTAGCAAACAATGGTTTTTACGTTATAAACCATCAATCGTGACAGCTTAGTGCAATTTTTCAGAGTGAAAAGGGGCTCGAACAATGTACCTAGCCAATTATCTCGATCGTTACATAAACACGTTTTCATAAAACGATTTGTCTCAACCAATAGATAATGCACTTCCTTTCTTTCATTATCAGTTTGAAGTATACATATAATTTTTCAAATAATAAAACAGTTTTTTCTTTCTCTTGAAAAATTTTGCTTTTAGGGCTCGTGACATTGTATCGGCTGGGCGACAATATGCCAACGTAGAACAATTTCCCTAAGGGATCAATAAAATGAAATTTGTTTTGATTTTTTGACATACCCAACCTTCAGCTGAATTTCCTTTTATCAACCAAGATGGTGTCAGCATCTTATGCATTAGGTGACCTTTGAACCATTATCTCAGGGTTGTCAGGAAGGCCAGTCATTTTAGATATTTCTAAGGAAGTTACCAAATGATTTTTATTTGCGCCTTTTTTTCATCTATCCAGCAACTGAAGTACTACACCATGGTCAACGTGCGGTCGTCCAGAGGGAAAAATTCTAAAGGGAGAAAAATTACTGGCATTGAGGCAATGCCCGGGGAAGAGAAGGTAAGGGAAAGGAGAAAAGTGGAGATTTTACTTGCTGGCTATTTGGCAACAATTTGAAACAAATAAATGTATATGGCATATTGTCAATGAAATATATACAAACATGAAGTCTCAAGATGAAATTTACATTCCTTTTACTTCCTTTGTTTTTCTAGACATTGTCCGTCTACTGCAGGAGGCAACCCTCCAACAATGACATCCACTCTGTTCTATCTGCTGTTCTCCCTATCCAGGTTGTTCCAGTAGGCTCACAAATGTCATATTCCCACAGTCTTTCTGGTCCTCCTCTTGTTTTCCTGTTCTTGGTCTCTATTTAGTGCATCTTTTTCCCCATTTGATATCCTTCTTTCTACCGATGTGATCAGCTCATTTCCACTTTTGTTGGTGTATGAATTTAGACATATCTGCCGCTCTTGTCTCTTACTCTTAGAAAATTCTCAGAGAGTAGCTCTTCAATAGGATGATTCAGTTTCCTAAAAGATGAAGCAACTGACACAGCGCTGTTACAGCCATTCATAGGACAATCAGCTGTTTTCATAGATCTTATGTATTTAATTATTTAAATTACATTTTTCGGAAGCCTGATTCACCTGTTAGCCTTTTAGTGTATATATACTGTATGAGGGATAATTTTTTAATATAAATTGTAAAATGGTGCCCATTGTTGAGGAGGAAAATAACAGGTGGCTGTCTTACACTGTATCATTTAAGTATAAAAAATGAAAAAATGCAAGGTGGGGAAATGGGAAGTAGCCGTTTGTACTGATAAATGTCTTAATAGGTGGCCATTCGAGCAGGTTCGGCTGTATTTTATGAAAATATAGCAAATTAATCTGTTTAGATTGCACTGTTCTAACCTCGCTCAGTGAAGTTCGAAAGAGCAGTGCTTGAGATGGAAAACCTCGGTAACCAAATGATGGTTTTGCACTATCTCCGATTGCATAATAATGCGCTGGGGTAAAACACATACTTTTTTTTTCTGGTTTTCTGTCTTAGATCCATCACAGTACATTGACAAAATTTGATTGCCTGAATGTTAACATTAACGATGTAAGAAAGTAATTTAGTCTTTCCTGTAAAATTTAAAAGTTTGAATTAAGGAGATTCCAACTTAGCGCCGAGGATATGCTTTGTGGAGAAGGTGTTCATTTGTTATGGATTCATATTTACGATAACAAGGATTGGAATAGAGAGTGTCAACATCTTGAAGCTTGCAATTTTCTATTTTTTTCTCTTTTCTTCACTCTCCTTCCGAGGGGTGTTAACCCACTATGGCGGGGCCCTTTTGTGATGTGAAATCTGAAAGTGGCTGTTGAAATAAATTCACTTATTTTGATTGTTGTTCATCTAATGAAAGAGCTCCTGGTAAAATAAAAATTTAATGTTCAAGTTGTCATATAGGAAATACCCGAGTTGCTGCGAGTGGCTCTCTCCAACTACGGTTCCAACAGCGAGCAGCTGGGAGCCACTTACCAGAAATAAGGAGTTAATTATATTGTTTATTTTCTTTTTGTCTATTGTTCTCTTTATGGACGCTGATAATAAAATGTCATAATAGTTTGAATGGTGTTATTCTTTTTTTTTTTATGAAAATTTTCTACCATAAATAATAATAATAAATGACATTAAATAGCGCTCAACCCCGATTAAAGTACAGGCTCTTTATTTGAAAGTTGATTGAATGAGCTACATTTTGAGCATAATATGTGACCCTGCCGGTCAAAGTCAAAATCAGTCGTATGAAGAAAATTAAAAAATTTAGTTAATGTAATTTCCAGAAACTATCACCATTTCACTAAAGTTGATTGAATGAGCTACATTTTGAGCATAATATGTGACCCTGCCGGTCAAAGTCAAAATCAGTCGTATGAAGAAAATAAAAAAATTTAGTTAATGTAATTTCCAGAAACTATCACCATTTCACTACAATTTGGGGAAAAATCAGGTAAATTAAATAAGACAATATTTGACGAAAATATAGAATTTTTTAGTATAGTCTGCCTGGTGCGGAAACACGATAAACAAATTACGATGTTGTAGCGAAAAAAGCTTAATTTTTTAAAGGTGTACAGCATTTGGTGTGTTATAGCGAAAGAGCAAAGAAAAAACGATCTGAGTTACCTCGATTTCACTGAAACCACGAGCTCGGAAGTCCGCAAGTCGGCTTACGTACCATGTTTACGCTTCCTAATTATAACGTTTGCAATAGCGCTATAAACACACGAGCGCACGCACACACACACTCACATGCACACACATGCACACACAAATACACACATATGCACATACACACAAACATACGTACACGCACACATGCACAGAGACCGCCTCGGTGGCCTCTTGCTAAGGAGTTTTATCTTGGGAGTTTCTAGAGGAAGGTCAATCTTTAAACTGCCCCCCCCCCCCCCCCCCACTAAACATAATAAAAATGAACTTTTAAAGTCAATCGAAGTGTTAAACTGAAAGTTCAACAGCCCATAACGGAGCTAGCAGGGCACGCTTACACAGTCGGCTGTTTACGTGAGCAAGCTTAAAGTGGGCTAGGAGTTACCGGTCTTACCCCATTTAACCAATCAGAGCCCCCAGACGTTCGTAGTGACGCAAAGTTGTTTATATTTTTTTCGAGTGACAAATTAAATATCATCTACCTGGCACTGATTAACTAGTCAATGATTCAAGAATGGTACATGACAAGCACAGCAAGGGGCGCACGCTTAAAGTAAATTAAGAAGTGCAAAAGGTCACGATAAAGATATTTTCCAATAGTTGTACCCACTGTGAAAAAAGCGCCCCTTAGCTGTCCATCATAGACTTTTAAAAAATTCATTCGTCAGTAGTTCTAGCTTTTGCCACAATTTACCGACTTGGCTAAGTTAGTATTAACATATTCTTTGATGCCATCTTGCCCTTTCTCAACTACACTACCAAACCTAGTGATAGATTTCGCAAATTGCCTTGACAAAATCTTCTGGCTATTGATAGGGTTCGATCTGAGTCGAAGTTAGCAAAGGCAGCCCTTTGTTTTGTCAAAGGCCACAGTTGTGTGGGTCGTTCCGCCTACGCGACAGGTGAACACCTCAACAAGCCACTGAATCTGCCTGATTCAACCGCCCATCCGCCACCAGGCTGCAAAATTGGCACTTGGGCAGTTGAATCACGTGGGAATTGGGGACTGGTGTGGTATGGGCGATTGATTTTACTGATGGATTGAAACACTTTGCAGCAATCTTTCACACTCAGGATTTTAACATAAGGTGTATCAAAGGCCATACTATACAAAGGGATCAAAAAGTGATTTTCGAAAATTATGTCACTTAGGCGGTTGAATCTTGTGGTTAGTGATATATATATTTCCCCCTCACGCTGTAGACTAGCTGTCATAACCCATTCGCCCATCGTTATTGTTAGTCACTCCAATAAATGAACTGGTCATGTTGAACAGATCCCTCCCACTGTTTACCTAAGTTGACCAGTCGGTAACAAATATGCATTCATGTGCTTGGAGAAAGGTCACAGGTGTTGGAAATTTTATGTTTTCAGTTAAGAACATTTGTCAAAAATTCAGTGCTGAAGAAGCTGATTTTTTAATCATAAAAAATATTCTGCAGGTTTATATTACATAAAAATGACATATTTTCAGAGCAAAAGCAAAACTACTTCCACAACATTTCAATATTTTGATTGGTTTAAGAAATGTGGCACATTTTTTGTCACCTAGAAAGACATTAAAAAATACATCTCCAGACATACAGCAAATTATGTTCAGGACAATTATAGTTTCACAAGAATTTTTTGCTCTTACCAAAGAGGCTAGAAATTACCACAGAACAGAATATATTGTGGTGGCTGCACTATGATGAATGTATGGGGTTCGGATTCGTAATTTTAACGTTACTAGAGGTTTAATGTATTCATGTTCACAGCGATTGACTGTATGACTGTTGGGTAGATTAAGCTGAAAATGTTAATAAACAACATTATGTGGTTTGATCAGAACATAGTAATGAAACCAAAATAAAAGAGGCATCTTAGGCATATTGACCTAATTTCTAGCACATCTTTAATACTATGAAGTGTAACATGTAGTGAGAAAAATTAATTTAAATAAAAAATATAAAGGCATGGTTTTGTGAAAAATTTGAATGGCCAAGCGTACTTTTTCTCTCTATTTATCACAGGACACTTTTTTTTGGCCTTTTCACCTCCTAGCTCAAAAATAGCATTGCTGACTACAGGGACCTTTCTCCAGGTACGCTTACGAATTTTCAGCTGCTGGTCTTCCTAGTCTAACACATTTTGTTTTTGTTTTATCCTTGCTCTGCACACTGTCTTGCTCACTTGATTTTTATTCCGCAAAATTTAACACTCACAGCAGCTGTGAAACCTCCCTTTCAGCTCTCCCTTAAAAAGAAAAAAGAAAATATTTTAATGGACCAGTGACCCCCATTGGTTAGGACCTCAGAAGGAATGGTTTGTTTTCTTCATTTTGACCAATCCTGCACAAGACTGACACTTTTCTCCTTGACAATGGGTGGCTGCCCCAGACAATTTTGAGTTTATGTTTCTTAGTCTAGTTTTTACATAGGTTCTGTACATGCTTATGCCAATTTAATTTAACATCCACAGTGAATCTATGAAACTTAACGTTCAGACACACTTTCTCAGCCTGAAATCTTTGATAATTTCTTTGGTTTCAGAGACATTCAGTACAAAATAGTTATTTTAACATCAGTGTGCAAATATTTCTACTCCTTCATTGTATGTTGATGCTGATGATGATCTGAACAATCCCTAAAAACTGTTATCAGCAAATATATCACTTTTGTGTCCACAGTAGTTATTTGTGTACAGTTTGTCCAAAGTTGATGGCTGTGCATTTCCTGAGTGATTACTGGTATCTAATTTACAAACAGTAGAATATGTGCAGTTCAGCTTGACGTGCTGTTTCTTATGTGCTCAAAAGTCTAAGATCCATGCAATGAGATTCCTATTAACAGTAAGGAACAATAGTTTTCTGGACATAATAAGGGGGCTGGATAGTGTTGAAAACCAAAGAAAAATCAATATTCATATACAGAACGGGCTCCTAAGTTTTAGATCTCGTTAGGTGTGTAAGAGGGTTGTTAACAAACATGAGAACGACATCTTCTATGCTATGTTTGGTCTTGTAGGCAAACTGTTGAGGGTCAAGTTGGTTGTCTGGTTTTTTTATCTTTTCAAAATATTTCATGACAATATGTGTAATGGCGACTGGTTGGAAGTCTTTTACGTTTACAAGTACAGTCAAACCTGCCCCGACGGCCACCTCTATAAGACAATCACCTGTACAAACGGCCGCTTCCTGTTTCCCCCCTTGCGTTTTTTCTCTATAATTTAACTGTGTAAAACGAGCACCTGTCCAACGCAGCCGTGGCCACCATATTTTAACACACAACCCCTATCACACTAAGCAATAACACCTGTTTTAGACGGCCACCTTAGTGACTCCATTACGTTTTGTCATTAATTGTGTCATAATCTAATCACCTGTCGTTGTTGTTAGGTTGTCCCTCCAACCGATCATGTTGCGTAGGCCCTTTCCACTGTTGACCAATAGGTACCAATTTCCAGCTGCTGGTGAGGGAGACGTGTGATCCCTCATAACCCATAAGCCCCGCCCAGAACTCATACACAAATCGTAAGTGAGATGAGTGGTCACTGTTTACCCAGTCTGTAACAAAGAAACAATTGACGTCAACATGGACTTGTGACAGAAGCGTCGCTTGTTCTTCGAGTGGTGGCGACCAAAATGTTTGTTTTACCATAGCACTCGATCCTCCTTGTCTGACACATTTCGTTTTATTGTCAATCTTGCACAAAATCAGCAACAAAATAAAAATAACAAACAAAATACAAACCAATAAAAACAACAACAAAAACAACAATAATGCGGCTACTTTCGTTTGGGAATGGGGTTTGTTTTCTTCATCTTGATCAGTCCTGCCTAAGATGGCCACCTGTCTTTTACGGCCACTTTTCTCCTTGACAATGGGTGGCCGTCTTACACAGGTTTGACTGTATTGGCTTTTTTGAGACTGTTATTATTTCAGCTGACACCATGGGCTATTTGTCAGTGACACTTGGATGGTTCACTTCTAGTTCCTTTCATATTGTGGTGAATTGCATGTTCAAGTTGTCTTTTTACTTCTGATGATGCTCAGATTCTAGTCACGTCAAATGATTCCCGCATCCGCCTATACAACCTGCGTGACCTGACGCTGTCCTGCAAGTACAAGGGCTGCATGAACAACAGCAGCCAGATCCGGGCCAGCTTTAGGTGAGACTTTTCTGTGAGTGGGTGTCCACACCCCCTCCTCCCGTCTGCCTCAGAGTCTTCTCCTTAAAGCCCTTCAACATTGATTTGAGTTAAGGACAAAAGTCATACAAAATTAACTGTTTTGGGGATTGAACCCATCATTTACGTGAGTACTAATTATGTGACAGTTATTTACTTGTGTACCACGATATGACATACTCAGACGACCATTAAGTTACTTAATTTAGTACATGTCCTCCATAGAGTGCCAGTGTCTGCGTGCGTTGTCTTTATGTCTTATATAAGATCTGTGCCACTGCCCTCTGCACGCAGCCATCCTAACAAGACACCTGTCTGCTTAGATATTGTGTCCCTCCTTACCTTGGTTGGGCTCATCAGGCGTGGTCCAGGTCCAAGAGGCTCACTGCCAGTATTATCTAAACTGTGGTGATGGTGATGTAAAATACTTACATTCACAATTATAATTTTTTACAGCTCTCAAGTTAACGTCAGTAAGGGTGTGCTAATTTTTCTTGTTGGATGTCTACTTCTGTGAACTTCACCTGCTGAGATTTTTTTTTTTCTTATTGATTATTCAAAGTAAATGTTTTACATCCCCATCGACACAGTTTAGACAATTTAGGAGATGGCTACTTCAGCCTAGCCTGTCAGGGCCAACTCAGGTTGACTGGGATGCAGTGCCTCAGCTGAAAGAGGGAGATATTCAATAAAATGGACTGTCTCATTCAGAAATAGAACTCGCATTTTCTGGATGCATTGGTGTAGAGCATGATCATTACATGGCAGATGCCTATAGCCATTTTCTGCTCAAACTTTGTTTGAAAGTGTTAAATTTGAAAGGTTAAAAATGCTATAAATATGGATTTAAAACTCCATTTTTGTTCTCTTCTCCATGTCCAGCCCCACTGGAAAGTACGTCATCTGTGGCTCTGAGGATCACTTCTTGTACGTTTGGAAGACGAACCATGAGTTTATCAAGTTCACCTCAGCTCGCCGGGACAGGAATGACTACTGGGAAGCAATAAAAGGTGGGATTGATCAACTGAGCAGGTCTTACTTCTTTTCTTTCCTTTCTGTTGTTCCTGTCTTACTCTTCCCTGCGCTAGATGACACACATTGTGTCAATTTCCTGACACTAATCTTCATGAAAGGAAAATCAGTTCTCCAAGCTTTTGAAAACATGGATTTCAAATGCCAGCCAGTCAGCCTGCCTATCTCTGGCATTAACAATCAACATCTTTAATCAAACATATGTTATCGACCTGACTGTACAGTGGATACTTGGCCACTGCAACGTCCCTGGAAATGGCAGCTGACACCCTTGGTAAAAAGGGAGCATCACAAACACAACCTAAAAATCCAGTGTCACTACAGTCAAGAATATCATCAAATGCAACATCCTGGAACAGTGGCTGAATGAACAGGCAATGGGTAAAACTGGAAGAACTGCATTTGCACACATAATTGCCCTCACCTTAAAAGATGCACTAAAGTCCCTGAGTAGAAGAGGACAGGTCACTCCCTGTCTTCCATCTGCGAACACAACACATCCTACTGTCTTCCGTCTGCGAACAGAACACATCACACTGAATTCCTACCTGAATAGGATCCAAAAGGATACGCCTGATTAAACCTTGTAAATTCTTTGCCATATATATGTTCGTGCAGAAGGGATTGAACTCAGATGGCTGCTAAATTGGAAAAGTGAAATAAGTACAGTAATTGTCAACGTGTTACTCTTTACAGTCTCGAACTCAACTAATTTCTCTCCCTTCTACCCTACTTCTTTTAGTGATACTCAATGCTAGGCCATCTACTTTTTGCGGGCGATTGAAGGACGCCACTGGTAGGTCCCATTCCCTCTTTACTCTCCCCCCCCCTTTTTTTTTTATCGGCCTTGCTTTCTTTTTCTTCTATGGCTGGCCTCCTCCGGAGGGCGGCAGCCTGTGGCATGCAGTCAGATATGTGACGACCTTTTTGGGTTTATAGCATGTCAGGTCTGGGCCAGTTATTGTCTTGCAGTAGCGGTTTGCGGTACAGATCTCCGTGCGGGCACTAGAATAGTGCGTAATGTAAGTCATCAGGACTGACTTCACCTATCCTCTGGAAGTAGGATGGTAAGATAGGACTTTTCGTGTTGCACCATCATTGCAACAATATCAGTTATCTCCAGCCGCTATAAGCGAGAGACTCAGGTCTGCTGGTCCAGCTGAGCCTACGGTAAAAAACCAGTTTGTACTTCCATGTCTACCTGTATCCGGGTTTTGTTTGCCGTTTGGTCCGTATTGCTGTTGTTAATCTGGAGTCCCCAGCACCACATAGAGGTTTAAAATTTTGTCTTGGGGTTCTTGCTTTCTCCCAGTCACTGAGTGATGGTTCCTTTGTTGATGTCAATTCTCTATGCTTAACGCTGTGGAGTTCACTGCCCTTGATATCGACCGATATTAGTCGATGGAAGGGCGCTTACTAGATCGAACTTGAATCACGTGTTCTTTTAAAAATTTTTTCGCAAATTAAAAAACAAAAAACAAATAAGTAGATGTTTAATTTTGTCCAAGGAAACAGTCGTTTTTGTCAAAAAAATTATTATTCCCGAGACGAAAAATGGACCGCACATAATTTCCGCATCACTTTGTTCCTCTTCCACTATTTTGTGTTTACGATAACCACGCTTCTCCACTAACTCTCGACTTTTCGCTCATAAAAGCGGTGCATCATGTCTGACAACGAAGATTTTGTTATGGATGACTCTCTTAGTGAGTCTTCTGAGGAGGAAAGCGATGATTGCCCCTCAAATGACGAAGAGAATCAGGAATTGGCCCCGACTGTGGACCCAGGACAACGGAACTAGAGGTAAACTCCTTTGTTTATATTCACAGCTGATCAGAGTTCTAGTTAGGGGGACCTAGGGTGCACCTGGAGTGAAAATTGTGGTTTCTTACAGCACTAAATCTCTCATCAATCACATCTGCTGAATGCTTTGCTACAGTATGACTGAAAGCAGTTTTTCATTTGTTTAGAAACAGTATGCAGCTGTAATCAGGAAGTAGGCAGGAAGACCAGGATGTAATCTATGGTTTACCTGTTACTAGATTCTAGCTCTAGGCTAGAAGTATACAGCTCCTTTACTACTTTAGGTTTGTTGCACTATGTACAAGCTTATGTTTTCTATGCATGAAGATCCATGTAACTGCACTTTGATATGATATTTACTGTGCAGATTATTCATAAAGTTTCTTATTTATTTGTCTCGTATAAGCAAGCGCAAGAAGTAGGAGTTGCAGAGGCAGAGAAGTCGTATGGTGATGAGGACAATGCTCCAGACCTGACAATCCGTAAGTTCAGGCGGGAGTACACCCCTGGGCTCCACCTGCCAGAGGATAGGACGAAAGCTGATACCATCAAGTATCTAAGGCCAGGTAAGAATTCTTGTCCATCACTCATTCATTCCTTTCTACAAGGCCTATCAATATGTGTGTTAGCCCTACCTCTCTGTGATCTCTGATGCTGCATTTAGATGGGATGTCTGAACTGATCGACACAGAGGTAAGAATTGATCTATTACTGAAGTTCTAGTATTGTTTGGTATTAGTAATTAAATGTTTTGTGTTTGCTGCATTATGTAGAATTATTGAATTTTCATGTTACTGTTTAAAAAAAACCACATGTTTATTTCCTAATGAGCTATCCAATACAAAAAACTAATGTTGACTCATTCCTCTCCCCCGCCCCGCCCCCACATCCCTTTTGGCCTCTGTCTACACCCCAGGTGCATTCTTCAAAATGTTTTTCTCCGTTGAGTTGGTGAAAGAGATCTGCCCATGCACAAACAGTTATGCAGAAGACATGAAAGAAATAAAACCATCGTTTTCAAAGAACTGGAAGCCACTGACAGAAGAGGAATTTGTTGCTTTCGTTTCTTTGTCGCTTTATTTTAGTATTGTTAAATTACCTAGAATTGAATTGTATTGGTCCACTAAACAGTTATTTCATGGTCTTTGGGCCTTATGGTTTTATGTCTATATTTAGGTACAAACAAATTCAGTGTTTTCTCAAAGTATCCGATTGGAACAATGAAGAAAAGACAGACAAACTAACAAAAGTCAGATCCCTCTCGGATCATATAAGAGATAATTGCATGCAATTATGGCAGCCACATGAATTTATTAGCATTGATGAAAGAATGGTAGGTATAGTTTTAGGTAAACATTTGTTTAGAATAGGATATAAATTGTTTATGGATAAGTTCTACTCTTCTCTGCCATTTTTTAGGGATTTATTTGCCAAAGGAACAAAGGAAATTTGCTTGTGGAACAATTTTTGTCAACGAGACGTGAATTTCCACCATCCTGAAAACAACAAAAGAATTTAAGAAGAAAATTAGGGGATCAATGAGGTGGGTTAGAGTACAAATCATAGGGTGTCTCCAGTGGAAAGATAACAAAATAGTAAATGTCATTGCAACCTTGCACAAGTTCACAAGTGAAAGGACGTTCTGTTAACAGGCGAGTGAAGGTCAATGGGGAATATATAAAACTTACTGTCTCTCAACCCATGGTTATAAAAGATTACAATAAATTTATGGGGGGGTGTTGATAGATCAGACCAGATGATAGCATAATATAAAGTATTGAGAAGGACTAGTAAGTGTTGGAAAACTATTTTTTTACCATATGATAGACATTGCAAAGGTGAATTCTTTCATAATGATTCAAGCTTTTCGACAACGAGAGAAAAATCAGAAAGTAGAGGAACTCTAAAGACCCAACACCTATTCCCTATTTGAGTTTACCCTAGAATTGATTAAAGAATTAGCTAATATAAGTGAAAAACATGGAAGTGCCTTATTGCAACCTGAAAGAAAATGAAAGTCATGCAGTAGTTCCAGCTCCAACTGCCGTTAGACGTAATTGCGTCTGGTGTTACAGGTTACAAAAGGTAGAAAGAAAAGCAAGCACAAAATGTTTAAAATATGATAAAAACTTCTGCTTCAGTCTGTCAAGAAACTTTATTATTAGACCATCACCTTGTCACCTTGTCCACAGTGTTGGGGTCACTACAGTCGGAACATGTCCATTTCTGCATCCCCCCCCTCCCTCCCTCTTCAGGGTCCATCCCAGAGTCTGTCTGCTTTTAGTCCCCATCATAATCTTGTTGGAGATCCGTCGGACTGGTCCACATAGATGGCTGTGATAGATGGAACTCTCCTCTTTGGATCCCCCTCTCCTTCAATCTACCTAGGGTGTGGGAACCACTATCTGCCCTATCTTCCTCAAATTGTCCCTTACATCAGTTGATGGCTTGTGTCCTTCATCCAGTATAGAGCCTCATTTATGGTTTTTATCTCCATACACATACTGGATGTTGTCAGTGCAATTGCTCCACTTACCTCTTTCACTACTACCCCATCAACTCTGACACTGAGGGCCCAGCCCGATTTAACTCCTCTGCTGACTGATCCATCCGTGAAGATCACAGCATATCCATATTCGCTATACTCTTCTATCAATTATAATTAATAAACAGGGTTCTCGCAGGAGCTACTGAGTTCGTGCTCCTTGCGCGAGCTCCTCTTCAGGAATTACACCATCAGTAAAGTTTGATTCATACCACTTTTTATTTCATTTTACTGTTTAATTTTTGTTACTTGGCCTTTTTAGATGAAGGGGTATTTTATGCCACCATCAACACAATTGAGACCATTAAGGAGGCGGGCTTACAGCCCTGCCTGTCAAGTCCAATCCAGCAGAAAGACAGAGATAATCTATAAAAATTCTCCCCACTCGGGAATCGAACATGAGTCGTCTTTGTGTAACAGCAAAGCGTCTATCTGCTAAACCACAGTGCCTTGGATGGTGTTATCTCGTTTCACCGTCTTTTGCTATTTTACATTTTAAATTGAATGTTGAAATGTAAATCAGCTTTTGTACAATTGATTGATTTGTTTTACATTTCAAATGAGAGCTACAGGTAATTTCAGACTGTTTTCAATACTCTGACATAGCCAATACAGCTGAAAAGTTAATTTAAAAAATAAAATTTTAGCAATGTTCGAATGATTTTTCACTCTATTCTTACGTCTTTCCCTATTGAAGATTGAAAGTGTACTATTGATTGATTTGTTTTACTTTTCAAATGAGAGTTACAGGTAATTTCAGATTGTTCTCAGTATTCTGGCATAACCAGTACAGCTCAAAGGGGTGTTTTAAAACATTTTGGTCATTTTCGAATGATTTTTATATCTTTTCCTTTTTAGGATTGAAAGTCTGTCAAGCATGATATATATCATCCACCAGTTCACATAAAGTGCAAAAGTGAACATATTTTCAGATTTCAAGTAAATTTTGAAGAAATGTGACCTTAATCTTATTTTTCCTGCTTAGTGACTTTAGTTTTTTTGTCATCTTTTACTATTTTACCTTACGACAAAAGTGAGCCATCAAGTGTATCACATGAGCTTTATGTTCAAACTAATGGTAGCACTGTCTTCTATATTCAAAGACAAAAAGATCCTTACATGATATGTCATACTTCAGCTTTATTGGGTGACAAAACGCCCTAATCGGTGTGTGTCTCTGGAACACATGTTCCAGTTTGTACTCACCATGTTGTCTGTGTACTTTCAGTTCACAACGCTGTGGTCACATCGGCCATATTTGCTCCCAATCCATCCTTCATTTTCCGCATGGCGGAGCAACAAGCCATGGAACTTAAAGGGCAGCAACTCCTGCCTGACGACGACACAGAGGAGAGAGAGATCATCATCTCGGCTGACTTCACGGGTGCCATCAAGGTCATCACAAATAGGCCAGCTCGCCACTGATACCTACAGAGTGATAAAGAGATGTTGTGCTGGCCAGTGCGGGGTGTATGTGTGTGTGTCTGTGTGTGGAATAGGCCAGTGTCATGTGTGTGTGTGTGTGTGTATGCGTGTGTGTGTGTGAGTGTGTGTGTGTGTGTGTGTGTGTTTTGCCCAGGCCAGTGCCATGTCCCAGTGACTTGTGTTCTTGTGAAGAACCTGAACAATATTTGAAACCAGTCAAAACTTGCCTCATGTAACTGAATTTTAAAAAATACAACACAACACACACTTACTCACACACACTCAGACATACTACATACCAGAAGTTAAAGTTTCAAAGTAGTTGTATTTCAAATTTATCTGTTCCATATGTGGATGTCCCCTGAAAATTTAGGTAACATTCTTGTTAATTGGCTGCAACCCATGCCTGACAGATTAAAAACCGAAATGCCTTGACAGAGTCAATCACAATAACATATGAGGTCTGCCCCAGAAGTAAGTTTCCGTGTTCTATAAAATCAAGAATTTTTATTTTGCAGACATTAAATTTTGTATGTACGTATAAAAACATTTTTCTATCATCATTACAGCCGTTTATCTCAGTTCTCTTTTTTTCTTCTGAATTAGCCAGCATTCAAATACAGTTACCATTTCCTTTTCGATCAGAGCCCTCAGTGCAGCATTTGTTTCAAGCACAATTTCTTCCTCATCTTCAAATTGCTGCCCCCTTAGTCCTTTGATTTTAGTGAAGAAATGAAAGTGGCATTGTGCTAAGTCTGGGGAATAGTGAGAATGTTCATGGATCCTATTGCCAGGAGTCCAGGAGATAAAGGTCACCTTTCGTGCAGTATGCATAGGAGCGTTGTCAAGATGGAAAACAACACCTTGCTCAAGCAGACCCGGCCGCTTTCTTCTGATTACTGGTCTCGGCTTTGTTTGAAGAACCATCGTGTAATAGTAAGCATTGACTGTTGTGTCAACCAAAACTGGCTAGTAAAAAACCACAAATTTGTGATTAAAAAACATGCTTTGCATCCCGTTCAAAGCACCTTGCTTGTGTCAAGCTTTTTTTTTAGGTCATTGCAATCTTGGGTGTCTCCATTCTGCTTATTACCTTTCCTGTTCAGGATCCCATGAATACACACATGTTTCATCACCTGTTATGATTCTTCTTTAAAAAATATGTCCATTTTTTCCAATCGACTTTCAATTCTTCACCAAAATCAAAGGACGACTAAGCGGAAAGCGATGTGAAGTCGAGGAAGAAATAGTGCCGGAAACAAATCGTCGCCTATCACACCAAAGGGCGTATCCCTGTTTTCTTACTTTTTCAGGAGAGCGATTTAAAGATTTTCAGACTTTGATTGCTTCATCCTTTTCCCTTGTCATTTTAGTAAATTGCATCCTACCATCGGGATATTTGGATATTGTGGGCATGATAAGATATCAAACAATGAACAAGATTGATTTTGCAGTGTTTTATATAATTTCACTGCGAAAATGTGCCATCTGTTGGCATACGCCCTTTCGTGTGATTGTTCTATTTTTCGTCCTGTCCAGAATCAGTGTATACGCCCTGTGTTTGAGTGTCCACACAATTAATTTCAGTCTTCAGACTGACCAGTAGAGGATAAAATTTCTCCAAGATATTACTCCTCACTTCCCCATGCACCCGCCAAATCTTCCTCTTTCTCTTCTCCTCCCCATACCTCTCTGTCTCATCACCTCCTACATCACTATCGGAAAGTACTGACAGTTCCCCATCAAACTTTTCCAGGGCTTTTGAAGCAGAAAAACGTTGTGACGGGCGGGAACCTGATGGGTTATCAGCCATTTTTCCGTTGCTATGCGTGTAAACTAATTCGAACAACACAGGGCAGGTAAAAAAAAACAAGAAAAAATGCCCAAAAAACCAGCAGAATAAAACACAAAAGGCACCAAATTCTTTCACGGGTTGACTGATGTATGGTAAGCAGAGCAGTTAAAAACATGAAACGGAAAGGTTGAGTCAAATTGTGGAAGGGAAAGGGAAAGAAAAGCGCGAGCCGATAATTCGGCTCTTGGCCACGAACTAGGAAGTTATGGAGCCGATAGATCGGCTCATGGTAGTCAAAGAGTTGAAGGACTTCTATTTAGACCCCAAAGGCTAAAGATATACAACAGGACAAGTCATTCAAAGCTCTATATTTTTGTGCCTATGAAAAGACGATATTTAACTTAATCAGCGATCTTTCCGTTAAACATTGAATAATTGGGTGTCGGTTTTTTAAACTGGTTTACCTTGCTTTCCGACTGCGAGGGGCTTTGCTTTCCACAGTGATTCTTCAGATCCAAATGCTTAAACGTACAAACAATACACACTGCTGTATAAGAAAAGGTTGTTCATGGTTTACAGCATATGTTGTTTTAATTGGACAGAGCAAAGAAAGGGTGATCTGATTTACCCCAATTCTATCTGAACCACCTGCTCAGAAAACCAAGAGTCTGCTTGTGTTCACTGTTCACACATACACACACACATGCGCACATTTGCTCTCCCACTCACAAAGACACACCACGCACACACACACTCATGTTTAAAAAATTCACAGTTCTACGTTGATATCAACGTCTGCGAAGTATGGACACTCCTTAAAGGAGAATTGACTGTGCTGCTTGGTTAGTGTCAAATTGGGGATGTTTGCCTGTAACTGTCAACATCTAGTGCCTCATTCTGTGTGGCTGTAAGCTGTGAATGTGTGAAATCCCCGTTGCTAAACCTTAGCTGTGACAGGTATAAGGTGACCATGACCCCCCACACTGCTGGAAGACCAATATGCTCAATTCTCTGTGCTATGATCTTGTTCCTGATGTTGGTTATGTGACCATTTCTGCATGTGTTTGGAGCTGTTGTGTAACTTGTTTGGAAGATGGTTCCTTGTTGTTGCTGCCACATTAGAAAACCAAATTTCTCCAGTAGTTTTTGTAATATGAAAATGTGTGTGTGTCTGTGAGTTGTGTGTGTGTGTGTGTGTGTGTGTGTGTGTGTGTGTGTGTGTGTGTGTGTGTGTGTGTGTGTGTGTGTGTGTGTGTGTGTGTGTGTGTGTGTGCACGCGCATGGGTTGGGGTGTGCATGCATGCATGCATGTTGTAAATGGTCTCGCAATTAACTTTTTTTTGCCTTTTGATTTTATCAGTTGTATTGAATGATAATTCTGCACTATACAGCACTTAGGGCCTTCTAAGGAGTAGGCACTATATAAATTCACGTCATCATGTTGATAATAATGATGATGATTATTTTTATTATTATGACTTTGCTTACCCTGTAAAGAAGGTGCAAATAGAGTTAACCATTTTTATCCTTTGACAGTGGCAGTATGGTATTGGTTAGAATGAGGTGGGGAAGGAATAGCCAGGGGAGCTGGGTACCACGAGCATGAGCATAAAGTGTTGTATAATGATCATAATGACTATGGGCTGCCATGTCGTGGCCTGAGTGCTATTTTGTTCTATCTCCAATTTCTGACATTGTAAATTTCTTTACCACAGCTATCAAGGCTTTTTAAAATTCTTCTCTGAGGCCAAAATTGTTACTAATCATGCCAGTTTACTGTAAAATTTCAGTTTTATTTTGTTCTAACTTCCGTTTTGTGACGAGAATTTGGTTCTGTCATAGTCATTTACGTCAAAATCTGAAAAGGTAAATAAGAACAAAATACAGGGCTGCCCATCATTACAAATTTGGGGGAATCGTCCCCATTTTTATTCAATTTTTTTTTTTATACGATTGTAATACCCCTGATTCAGATTTTTTAACATTGCGGCTATCCCGAATGACTGCCAACCTTCCCGGTGTATATAAGGGAATAAAAAACCCTATCAGACCCAGATAGTCAATTATGTCACTATGTCACATGCAGATGTCTAAGTTTAGCATTCTCTTTGCCTTGAGCCTTTGTACTTATACTCGCTCAATGCTTCTTTGCCCTTAGAAAAAAGTTAGACTTTACTTGTTACTTTTTCCGGGCAACAATGTTATTCAATGCACACTTGACAGGTCCATAAGTGCTCAGTTCGTCTCAGCACTGAAGCCCGCAAGGTATCCATACTTTAGACTTTAGAAGTGCCAAATCCAGTAGTAAGGGTTGACAAGGTGTTAGGAAATTCCTGTTTTTTGTGCTGTGTGTGACTGCCAAGGCCAGTGAGAGAGAGATTTTTTTTTATGTATCGTGGTTTGAAACTTTATACAATGACCCACATTTCTACCCTTTATTTTCTTAACTTGACCAGTGACGAGCCCGTCAAAACTGCTTTTTCTTCCTGCCTTTGTTTGCGTTACTTTTATACTTGCTGGACAACAACCCATGTCCTTTACACCCCAGCAAAGAAGACAATCCATGGCCATCTTTTTAATTTTCAAGCCAGATTACTTATTTTTTATTTGCCGATTATTAAAACATAGTAAAACATTGTGAAGCAGTGTGGTGAAATCAGTGGCTCGTCAATTTTTGGGCATGTAGAGTTATTGGTATAGTCTTAAAGCTTGTTCTTTTGTCTTGCTTTAGATGAAATAAAATACCCATCAATCTTGAATCACTTTCAGCGGTAAAAATAGCGAGAAAATGGCCACCAAAGTTTGGTAACTTCAATAGAAGAGTCCTTGAAAACTGAAAAATGACTTTATTTTGAGCTTTTAATCAACGTTTTACAATACAATTCACTCAGAAATGTGTATTTACTTGGACATAAAAGGGTTGAACAAAAATACAAATTTTTTATTAAGATTGCAAAACTGGTGGGAAAATGCCTGTTTCTCCAATTTTGTTATTTTGACCAGCGCCTGATTTCACCACGATGCCTCACATATGCTGGTGGGTGGGCAGCCCTGAAAAGAGCAACAAGCTTGCAGCCATGTTGCTAAGAGATACCCTCAAGGATGTTTTTCTTCGGTAGAGTAGCCTTTGTGGGTGGTTGATGGGTGCTCTGGTATGATCTGCCACTTCTTTCCCATCAAACATCTCTTCCATCTCTCTTATTTTGCGTTTGTTACTCTCTTGTAACATCTCTCATCTTCCGCATTTATATGACCTTATTTGTTTTGCAATTACTGTAAAATGCTTACTAAAACTAAAAAATAACCATTAGGCCTGTATGTGGATATGTGGAAAGCACTCTTAGTGAGTGTAGATGGTACAGTGGGACTCTGATTTAATTAAATCGTCGGGCCTGACCAAGTTTCCGTTTCAGCAAACATGAGGTTTTTGCGTAGATAATTACAAGGGTCCGAGCAAATAATGTATTATTATTATATATTTGACTCTGTCAATCAAAAGTAGCTTAGTTTCAAATGAGAGGCATATTTGTTTCTTTCTTGATACCGAAGAAAGGCTGGTAAATTCTTGGAAAATACACTGACCAAGCACACACTGTGCAAAAAGTCCGATTAGTTCACGTACATGGCCTTTGTACTTTGTCATCTATCATTTATGACATATTGTTTGCTGAACAAGTTGTGTTGCTGCGTAAGCCTACCATGCTGCAAGTTTGATTCCACTGATAAGCACGCAATTCATTTTATGTAAATCTATGACAAGACTAGCTTATTGTAATGTTGATCAGCTGCCGAGAGGAAAAAATGACTGTGTGACTGTGACGAGTTTGTATCTGTACTGACTATAAATATTATATGCCCAGACTGCTTGTGCTCCATCCCCCCAAACACTCGCGTGCACGCACGCACGCACACACACACACACACACACACACACACACATACACACACACACACACACACACACCAGAAGTGTGCTGGCCGCCCATCCGACTCCGACCTGTGCTAAGACATGTGTGCGCGCCAGCAACGCGTGTGTTGGTACAAGAGAAGGAGGCTGATTGGTTGCATAACTTATAAACCATAGGCTAAACGAATAATAGTTCACGATGCAGATGCCATGGATGGTTTCCAGGAATAGATCAAGTTTGTTGTGGGAGAAAAATTAGCAAGCAACATCAGTGGGGGGGGTTGTTCACCCCGCTAGCAACTTCATTGAATCCAAACTTGCTAATTTATGTATTCGTTGATGAAACCAAGTTATTTTTTATTGATTTTAATGGATGAAAAAAATGAGGAATCCATCTCTATTTGTTGAAACTGAGTTTTCTTGGATTCTGACTTCGTTGAATCCGAGTTCATAGAGTCCGAGTTCCACTGTATAGCAGTGAATCTTTGGTACATGACTTCGCTCAGTGAAGAGAAAATATTCTATGAGACAACTGCTCTTGATTAGCAAGTTTTGATGACGTGCTTATTTCCATTGCCACCATTGCATCTTCTTCCTTTTCCCAGTTTATAGTGCAGGGTACACCTGACTCATTTATGGCTTTTTGAAAAGGGAAAAAGAAGGAGGGGGAAGATAGAAAAAAGGAGGCCAGAATAAGGTATCCAACTGATGAGAGTGTGTCAGTATGTGCGAGTGGTTTAGTATGTTCATGCTAGATTTGTGTCGTCTTTCATTTCTCTCAGCCCTTCATGTCTACTGTTGTGTACCTGAACCTGAACTATTAATAATTCATGTATTTCAAGTTGCTGTTTAGGTTAATACTGTTGTGTAATTGGAATTCCTGAACTATGAATTGTAAGTTTTTGAGTTGATATCAAGCTGGATTAAAGAGCAGATTGCCTTTGTTCTGATCTGGTATTGTTCTGATCTGGTATTGTTCTGAGGAGTTTGGAGGTCCTGCTTCTTAAATATTGTTACACTGTTGAAAGGGGTGTTGAACCTATACAGTGAATGAATGAATGAATAAATTTAAGCTTGCTTTGACTTCGTTTGTTTCAATTGAAAGAGGATAAGGAGGACTGTCTAACAGTTTAACCCTATCAGTTTGTCGTGTTTTACCATCGTATCCATACGAGATGGGGAACTCTGTGCCACCACTTTCCGAAGAGGAAATTTACTTGTTGGTCCGATTCATACGCTTTGCATGGCAGACTGCCAAAATGATTTTTTGAGAAATACTGAAATTTTCAAAGAGATAT